TGTCAAAACTGCTTTATTTATGTGGCGAACTAGACCCACGTATACGGCCACTGGTATATACTGTTAGGAAATGGGCCCGAGAGAACCACCTTACTCATGATGTTCCAGGCAGGTGGATTTCTAACTTCTCACTCTCACTTATGGTGCTGTTTTTTCTTCAGGCTAGAAGTCAGCCTTTGTTACTTCCTTTAATGGATCTTGTACATATGGCAGGTAATTATAGAGAATATGCAATGAATTATATATCATAAATTAACTTAGGGTCACTGTATGATATGTTTTTCTGAGTTCTTTATATAAATACTGCTAGAAATCTATTGTGACGGCTAACCCAGTAATATTGTACAAACCTCATAATTGTAAAGAAAATTCAAAATACTTGATTAATAGTTTTTCTGAGAACTCTTGCATAATTATTACTTTGAACAAATATGAGAAAGTTTATTTCATCAAATGTTTATGTGATATAGAGCTCATTGGTTTGTAGTTTTTATGCCATGGTAAAATTATCTTCATTCGGGGAAACCATTGGAATGAATTCATGTTTTTCTTTCTAGGTATGAAATACTGCAGTTGTGCTCATAGTGAGTCACCAGAGCATTAGCTCAGATAAGCCGTCTTAACATTGTTAGAACAACGGGTAAAAGTTGTAGATAGTGATGAGTTGGCCGATGCGTTTCGAATGCGTTCTGCATCCATTATCAAGGCTGAATGTTGTGTGAATTGTGATTACTGTTGGTGGATATTTATAGGTATGGGTAAACAGGTGGTGGTATCTAGCTTGTGGAAGGCGTTAATTGGTGGAGTGTTGTGTTGTGGCTTGGGGGTTTATCGCCAAGAAGTAGCAGTGTTTGTGCTGTTCCTGTCGATTGTTTATTGATTATGGAAGTTTGCTGTAGGATTTTTATTGCTTCGTGTATTTGAAGAGTTGTGAAGTCATTAAATCGGCGGTTTACTTTGGTGTTTTTAGTACTAGGTCCTGACGTGTGAGTTTTTGGTTTTGGATGCGGGCACAATGTTCTTTGATGGCTCCATTTTGTAGGTGCATTGTTAGGCGTCTTGACAGGGTTGTGGTAGTCATTCCGATGTAGGAGGCATTTGCCAGGAGCTCGCAGTCTCCTTTATTACACTTGTACTCGTAAATGGCGTTCACTTGCTGTAGATCTGTTGTCTTTTTAGCAGGGCTGTTTTTCACGATAAGGTCCGACATTGTGGTAGACTTGTAGTAGATGTTGAGTTGCAGTTTTGTGTTCTGTTTCTTTGGTGTAGTATTTTTGTAAACGATATCCTTTAGAATCCGTTCGTCTGTCTGTATGCAGTGGAGAATTGGTTTTTATAGTAGACTTTGAGTTGTTCAGTGGAGTTGTCGGTAGTGGTGTTTTTTTGGCGGCTGTCCAGGTATCGTTGAAGTGTCTTGTCGAATGTGGTATTACTATATCCATTATTGATGAATGTTTGTCGAAGTGTACGAATTCTGTTGTGAAATAGATTCCAATCTGAGGATATTTTGTAGGTACGGTGGATGAGGGCGTGGATGGTTCCAGTTTTGTATCTTTGAGGGCATTCACTTTGAGCGTTGAGGTAGATTCCCTGGCTAGTGGGTTTTTGATAGACAGATGTGGCGTATGTGCTGTTGTTGGCGTCGATATGTACATCCAGAAAATTGATGGTTTTGTCAGTGGCTATTTCGTGGGTAAATTTAAGCACAGAATTGTCCTGTAGGTTTTGTCGGAGCTACATTAATTTATCAGTGTCCTTGGTAACGATGAAGCAGTCGTCGACGTATCTGCAGTACATAGAAAACAAAGTGCTGCAGGACCACCATCCCGCACTGGCGAGAAACCCCCCAAGCCACAATACAACATTCACCAA